CACAGGCACCTTGCCCTCACTCTGCCTGGCTGGCTGGCTGTGTGCACACACGTCTGCATCTGCTGGGGCAAATGTGGCAGAAATGCTGCTCTCTCAGCTGTGTTAGTACCTGAGACATCTGACCGGGGCAAGCCTGGAAGCAAGGTTAAGGCATGAGATGCCATTCCAGCTAAATGCTGTTCATGTCCTTTCTTTGCTAAATTTTTAATTTCAAGGTACAAAAGCAGGAGTGGCTTGGAGAAGCAGAGACATTGCTCATGGTCCTGGGTGGAGCAGTGCAGGAGCAGGGCTGTTACAAAGGAATAGGTAGACCCAGGAAGGGTCTGGTGTTGTCAGAGGGGTCCAGAATGCTCAGAGAGTTCTGTAAGGGTCTGGAGGAGGTCAGGAAGGGTCTGGATGCTGCTGATCCCAAATGTCCCAATTGGAGGGCTGCAGAGCCTGATGGGCAGCGCTTCAAGGTGGGGAGCAGCACTGGATGGCATGGCATGGCATGGCATGGCATGGCATGGGGAGAGGAGTGGAGATTAGAATGGGAGTGATACCACAATCAGCCAGAATAAACTTTCAAACACAATGGGAAGCATTAGGAAGCAGGAATTCTTTACCTCCAAAAGACACACAGATGGATGTCTCTATATTTCTGTTTGGGGTGAGACTTTACAACAGGGGTTTTATCCATCACAACCACACAGAGTCAATAAAGTGTCTTCCTTATCTTATATTATAATTTTCCTAGGACTCATTTCCATGCATCCACCTCCTTCTCCAAGTCCTTTCCTGGCCCTGGAGGATCATTCAGAGGAGTCTGTGGTGGTTGCATTCACTGAGTGCTGAGATATTAAAGGTGACTTTGCCTTGAACTTTTCCTTTGGCCATGTGTTCTTGCTTCTTGTTACAGAAATTGCCCTAAAACCACTGCAGGCCTCCAAATCTGTTTCTGCACTGGCTCCAGGCACATTTATCATCCTGTGTGATCCTGAGGAGCACATTGGAGCTGGGCTTTCCTCCTCCCTCCTGGGTCCTAGAACCCTATGGCCAGAAGGAGCAGGGATACTGATGCAGCACGGCAGGATCAGGGCTGTTGGGTGGAAAAGGGGGCCCTGGGGATGGTGTGGGGTGTTGCAGGCAGTTTTGGAGGGACCAGGAGAGGCTCAGAGTGGGTTGGAGGGGGTCTGGATGCCGGGAATCCCAAATCTCCCCACTGGAGGAGAGCAGAGCCTGACAGGCCACGCTCAGAGTGGGGAAACGGCTCTGTCTGGGAAACCTGTGGGATGTGACAGGATGGGGTGAGGATGGAGAGCGGGGTGGGGATGGAGATGGGGATGGGGATAGGGGTGGGGATGAGATGGGATAGGATAGGGAGCAGCTGAGCTGTGCTTCCTTGGGACCAGAGCATGTTTTGGCAATGATCCTGGAGCCCTTCCCGGAATGGGAGCTGCTTCTGAGAAGCACCCAACTGACTCATCAGCACTGCCAGCATTGCCAGCATTCCTGTGCTACCAGCATCCCCCTGCTGCTGGAGGGACAATGAGCCCAAAGGGAAGGGAAACAAGGAGTGGTAGAAGCCTGTCTGGAGAGGAAAGGCTTTTGGAGAGTGGGACACACTGCAAGGAAGGAATGTTTCTAATCAGCATAAAATTATGAGCCAAAGTGTTTCATTTGGAGCTTTTGACAAAAGTCACTTCCTCTGTAGCAAAAAGAAAAAAAAAAATCCACCCAGGATAAATATCTCTGAGGAAGTGGAGCTCTGACATAGCCAAAGATGCAATTTCTGACTGCTCGGTGACTGCACTGAGTCTTGGAAGGCAACAACAGGAATGGGCACAGACAGCGGGTGGTGGGACAGGAGTGAGGAGCTCCTGGTGACCTGGGCGCTTTCTCCTTCATGTCCCTGACCTGGCAGGAGCCACTTTAGGACACAGAGGAGCAAGAGGTACCAGGAGGTACCAAGAGGGACCAGGAAGCGCCGCTGATCTGCACAGAGCCCTTTGCCTGCTGCTGCCCCACAGGGAACAGGTCAGTGGAATGTTTGCCTTCCTCCCTACCCCACCTGCCTCTCCTGCAGCAGCTGCTCTGTTCCTGACACCCTCTCCTGGTGACCACAGTGCCCTGCAGAACAGCCCGACCCTCCCACCTCCCTCTCACACCCCACCATTCCCACCGCCCTCCTCCCCTGCACATCTCACTCCTCCCCACTGAATCCTTCCCACTGCAGGGAGCTGCTGAGGAGGCACATGGTCCATCCCTGGATTCTCCAAGCACTGACTGCCCATCCACTCTGACCACAGCCAGGGGCCACATCTCACTGCCTGCCCAGCGTCCATCCATGGAGGTGACCACCGTGTCCCCATCTCCTGCCTCACCCACTGAAGGAGATAATACATGTGGGATTGATATCACCAATGCGGCCGTAGTTGGCATCATGCTGTTCATCTGCCTCTGTGGGCTGGCTGGGAACGGGGCTCTGCTCTGCCTCCTCAGGTTCTGCAGGAACGCCATCACAGTCTATATCTTCCATTTGGCTGTCGCCGACTTCATCTTCCTGTTCTTTGTGGCCACCTCCCTCCTGCTCCACCTGCTGGAGGAAGTTTCCTGCTACACTATTACACTCCGGGAGTACCTGAAGTTGTTATTCCAGCTCTCGCTGTTCTCTTACACCACGGGGCTGTACCTGCTGACAGCCATCAGCGTCGAGAGGTGCACATCCGTCCTCGACCCGCTCTGGTACCGCTGCCATCGTCCCCGGCACCTATCAGGGTTCGTGACTGTCCTTCTCTGGACCCTCCCCTTTGTTACAGTGGTTATCCTGTGCCTGTCACTGAGGCCCCAGCACTGCCAGGTGTCTCTCATCTCCATGAATGCCCTCAACCTCCTGCTCTTTGCTCCAGCCATGCTCATTTCCAGCACAATTCTCTTCATTAAGGTCAAGTGTGGCTCCCAGCAGCAGCAGCAACCCAAGAGACTTGACATCGTTGTCTTCCTCACTGTGCTCTTCATCCTCCCCTTCACTCTCCCACTCAGCCTCTGGAGTTTTCTGCAGCAGTTCGGCTACACCATGGTGTCAGCCCAAGTGGTTTTCCTGCTCGCCTGCACCCGCAGCACCATCAACCCCTTCATCTGCTTCTTGGTGGAAAGCTGCAGGTGGCCCTGCTCCATGGAAGGTTGCAGCAGGCCCTGCTCCATGGGGTCCCTAAGGAAGGCCCTCCTTAGAGTCTTTGGGGACACAGAAGAAAACGGTGCAGCAATGATCCCATCATGGACATTGTGCTCTGAACCTGTTGATTCCTGCCACTGCACTGCTGAATAACCCCGCGACAGCAGCTGAGGGATTCCTTGAGTGACCTGATCAATAAATATCCACAGTATCACCCTCCCTCTGCTGGTGCATCCTCACCCTCTTTCCAGTCCACACTAAGATCTCAGAAACGCTCCTGGCCAATGAATTCCATTGTGCTGATGCTTAATATTAAAGCCAGTTTTTACTAATTCCCTTGGTGGTGACTTTTTCAGCGATCTCAAACACTCGTTTGGAGCACTCTCGCGGTGTAATCCCGCAGGAGAAGGGAGCAGCGGCATGTGGGAGGGATGCTCTGAGGGGAGCACACGGGAGCAGGGCTTTCCTCCTCTCTGCCGGGTCCTACAACTCCATGGCCAGGGGGGGCAGAGCCACTGCCGGGAGTCCCAGCTGGAGCGGGGCAGGAGCGGGGCTGTCGGGGAGGAAGGTGGCCCGGCGGGGGCTGGTCTGGGGTGTCCGAGGAGATGAGGAAGGCTCAGGAGAGGATCGCAGGAATCGGAGGCTGCCTGGCTGCTGGCGATCCCAAGTCTGGGCACTGGAGGGCAGCAGAGCCCGACGGGCCGCGCTCGGAGCAGGGAGCGGCCGCCGGCCCGGAAAGCTGCGGGATGGGAGAGGATGGGGAGAGGATGGGATGGAGAGCGGGATGGGGAGCAGGGGTGAGGATGGGATGGGGACAGGTCGAGGAAGCTCAGCAGAGCGTCCTTTGGGCCTTTGGAGAGGTTTTGGCAAGGATCCCGCACCTCTTCCCAGAATGCGAAATGCTTCTGAGAAGCAACCAGCCGCTTCATCATCAGCGCTGCCGGCACTGCCGACATTCCAGTGCCACCAGCACCACCGGCATCCCTCTGCTCCTGGAGGGACAATGACCCCACAGTGAAGGGAAATGAGGAATGGTAGAAGCCTGTCGGGAGAGAGGAGGCACTTGGAGAAAGGGACATTCTGCAGGGAAGGAATGTTTCTAATCAAAAGGAAATGATGAGCCGATTGCAAAATTCTGTTTGAGGAGTGTCTGACAAAAGCCACTTCCTTACTGGACAAAAAAAAAAAAAAAAAAAAAAAAAAAAAAAAAAAAAAGGTAAATGACTCAGTAGAAATGGAGCACTGACGAAGCCAAAGATGCAATTTCCGACTCCCCCGTGATTCCACCAAGCCTTGGGAAGCAACAACTGGGACAAAGCACAGAGAGGAGCCGGCTGGGCAGCAGTGAGGACCTCCTGGTGAGCTAGGCACTTTCTCCTTCATGTCCCTGACCTGGCAGGAGCCGCTTTAGGACATGGATCCCAAAGGAGCAAGAGGGACCAGGAAGCGCCGCTGATCTGCACAGACCCCTTTGCCTGCTGCTGCCCCACAGGGAACAGGTCAGTGCAATGTTTGCCTTCCTCCCTACCCCACCTTCCTCTCCTGCAGCAGCTGCTCTGTTCCTGACACCCTCTCCTGGTGACCGCAGGGCCCTCCCCAGCTGCCCCCTCCTCTGCCCTGTGCTTTCCTTTTACATCCCCTGCCAAACAGCCCAACACTCCCTCTCCTACCCCACCATTTCCACTGCCCTCCTCCCCTGCACTCACTTTTCTCAACTGAATCCTTCCCACTGCAGGGAGCTGCTCAGGAGCCACATGGTCCATCCCTGGATTCTCCAAGCACTGACTCCCCATCCACTCTGACTACAGCCAGGGGCCACATCCCACTGCCTGCCCAGTGTCCATCCATGGAGGTGACCACCGTGTCCCCATCTCCTGCCTCACCCACTGAAGGAGATGATCTCTGTGATATTGATGTCACCGATGCGGCCATAGACAGTGTGACACTGCTCATCTGCCTCTGTGGGCTGGCTGGGAACGGGGCTGTGCTCTGCCTCCTCCAAAGGACCCCCACCACCAGTTACATCATCAATCTGGCCTTCGCCAACTTCTCCTTCCTCCACTTCGTGGTCCTCTCCACCCTGCTCTATCTGCTGGAGGAATTGTCCTGCTACACAATCGTGCCCCTGGTGTTCATGAGGGCACTTTTCCCACTCCTGTTCTTCTCCTACAACCTGGGGCTGTACCTGCTGACAGCCATCAGCATTGACAGGTGCACATCTATCGTCTGTCCACTCTGGTACCGCTGTCGCCATCCCCAGCACCTCTCATGGGTGGTGTGTGCCCTGCTCTGGGCCCTCTCCATCGCTGTCATTGTCACAATGACTGCCCTGTGCCTGTCACGAGAGCATGACCACTGCCAGGTGTCTGTCATCGCCATGTACTCCCTCAACCTCTTCCTCTTTGCCCCAGCCATGCTCATTTCCAGCACAATCCTCCTCATTAAGTTCAAGTGTGGGTCCCAGCAGCAGCGACCCAAGAGACTCGACATTGTTATTTTCCTCATTGTGCTCTCCTTCCTCCTCTTTGCTCTCCCCCTCAGCCTCTCCAATTTCCTGCAGCAGCTCGGCTACACCATTGTGCCCTCCCAGGTTCTTTTCCTGCTCGCCTGCATCCATAGCAGCACCAACCCCATCATCTACCTCTTGGTGGGGAGGTTCAGGAGGCCCTGCTCCATGGGATCCCTACGGCTTTCCCTCCAGAGGGTCTTTGAGGAGCCAGAAGAAAACACTGCCCAGAGCGATGATCTTGCCATGGACACAGCCTTTCCAACCTGTTGATTCCTTCCACTGCTCTGCTGAAGGACCTTGGCAGAGTGGCCGAGGGTTTCTTTGAGTCACCTGATTAATAAATATCCATGGGATCACCCTCCCTGTGGTGCTGTAATCCTGCAGGAGAAGGGAGCATGGGCATTGCCAAGGGCCATGTGGGAGAGATGCTCTGCAGGATTCTCATTGGAACAGGGCTGTGCTCCTCCCTCACGGGTCCTGGAGCACTGTTCCCCAAATGGATCCTTCCCAACGCGGCTGTGATCCCAAAATTCCCCTGGCACCTGGTTCCTGCATCCCACTGAGGTCTGATATCAATAAACAGCACCGTGAACCCTGAGCTGCCTTTGCGCCCTCTGCCAGCTCTTCCCGGCTTCCTCTGGCTGCTGCTGCCAGCCGGGAATGTGGCTGGAGGGAGGGGACACAGCCATGGCTTGTGCTCCCTGCAGCAACCATGATCCCCAGTGCCCAGAGCTGGGCTGGCACGGACACGATGGCCCAGGGGCTCAGCATTCCCCATCCCGAGTGCTCTGTGAGTGTCACAGCAGAGATCTCCCCTGGGATCTTTAATTTTCAGTTTTGTGAGCCAGGTGCAAAGATGTCTCTGCCATCAGAAATTCTTCCTCTCCACTGCCTTCAGCTGCTCCCTCAGCAGGCTCAGGTGGTGCAGCAGCAAGGGGAGGAGGAGGCCGTGATCCTCAGCACAGCCACCCCCTTCCAGGAGCAGGGTGACACCTGTGTTTGTCACCATGGGCTCCACGGGGCATCACCCCCCTCCCTGGGGCTTCCCTGAGGCCACCAGCCCCACCACACCCCACACCTTCTCTCCAGCCCCACCACACCCCACACCTTCCCACCACATCTTCCCAGCAGCTCCATCATGTCCCACCCCTCCCACACCACCCTCCCATTCCACTCCCCATGCAGCCCACCCACCTCCCATCCTTCCCATCCCTCCCGTGCCTGAGGCTCCAGCCCCTCCCCACGGGCTGCTCACCCCAGGCTCCCTTACACGGTTTTTGGGGAGTGTTTCTCTGGGACATTCCCCTCCAGAGCTTCACCCGCCGTGTCCCGCCCCCCAGCCTCCCAGGAGAGGGACCAGAGGCGACAGCGGGATGGATCCATCAGCGTTTATTGGGGCAGAGGAGCGTGGAATGGCCAGGAGTAGACACACAGCCGGGGATCCCGGCAGGAGCGGGGCAGGAGCGGGGCTGTCAGGGGGCAAGGCGGCCCTTGGAGGGGATCTGGGATCTCAGAGGGGATCGGGAAGGGTCCGGATGCCGGCAATCCCAAATATTCCCACAGGAGGGCAGCAGAGCCCGACGGATCGCGCTCGGAGAGGACGCCAGCTGGGAAACGTGCGGGATAGCACGGCACGGCATGGGATAGGTACCGGCAACAGGGAAGGGGAGCCGAGATGAGCATGGTTTGGGGATAGGACTGGGGTGGGAATGCACATAGGATGGGGATGCAATGATAGGGACAGGAATAGGGACAGGGAGAAGGACATGGACAGGGATAGGGACAGGGACAGGGATAGCAATAGGGATAGGGACAGGGACTGGGACTGGGATAGGGACAGGGACAGGGATAGGGATAAGGACAGGGATAGGGATAGGGGTAGGGATAGGGATAGGGATAGGGATAGGGATAAGGGTAGGAATAGACACAACAACATGGAGCAGTGGGATGGGAAAAGGGATGGAAAAGCTGTGGGATCCATCCTGACTCACAGCTGCAGGAAGATGACCTGGAGGCCTGGCTGGGAGCGAGGGTGGGCAGCTGAGCATGAAGCCAGCGTGGGCAGCACGGCTGGTGGCACCACAGTGGCCTCTCAGCTGGACACTGTGGTGGTCCCTGTCTCCTCAAAGACCCTCCGGAAGGCGACCTGGAGGGACACGACGGAGCAGCGCCTCCAGCAGCTCCCCACCAAGAAGTAGATGAAGGGGTTGATGCTGCTGTTGATGCAGGCGAGCAGGAAAACAACCTGGGAGGACACGACGCTGGGGCTGAGCTGCTGCAGGAAATTGGAGAGGCTGAGGGGCACCCCAAAGATGAGGAAGAAGAGCACAGTGAGGAAGATAACGACGTAGAGCCTCTTAGGCTGGCGTCTCTTGGAGCCACACTGGACCTTGATGAAGAGGATCACGTTGGAGATGACCATGGGTGGAGCAAAGATGAGGAAGCTGAGGGCGTACATGGAGATGAGAGCCACCCGGCAGTGCTCGTGCTCGTGTGACAGGCACAGGGAGGTCACCACGACCATGACAGCGATGGAGAGGGCCCAGAGCAGGGCACACACCACCCACGAGAGGCGCCGGGGACGGCGGCAGCGGTACCAGAGGGGGAAGAGAATTGAGCCGCACCTCTCGATGCTGATGGCCGTCAGCAGGTACAGCCCCATGTTGTAGGAGAACAGCGACAGCAGGAGAAGGGACCTCAGGTACTTCAGGGACACGACAGTGGAGCAGGACACGTCGTCCAGCAGGTAGAGCAGGGAGGAGGGGACCATGAAGAGGAGGAAGGTGAAGTCGGCGACGGCCAGGTTGAGGATGTAGACAGTGATGGGGTTCCTGTGGATGTGGAATCCCAGGAGCCAGAGCACAGCCCCGTTCCCAGCCAGCCCACAGAGGCAGATGAGCAGAGTGACACCGTTTACGGCCACATCAGTGACATTGATCCCACAGGAATCATCTCCCTCAGTGTCCATCAGGGAAGGTGAGGGAGGTGGGGACGTCTGGTTCAGCTCCATGGTGGGAGGGGGGATGTGTCCCCAGCTGTGGGCAGAGCAGAGGGGGGTTAGTGGGACCCCAGGGGATGTGACAGGGAGGGGATCCCAGTGAGGCGGCACAACAGGGCTGGGAACAGGGGGGGCGTGGGATGGCTGGGGGTGAGGTGAGGGCAGGGGGAAGGTTGGATCAATCCAGCCATCCCCACCATGGGAGCAGTGAGAGGGGCTTTGGGGACATCCAGGGAGAAACAAGCAGTGCCCAGGGCTGGGCTCTGGTCCCAGTCCCCTACCTTTCCTTGGGGCTAACCTGTTGGTGTGTCCGAGCAGGGCACGCTCCCTCCCTCCGGTGCTCCTCACCACAGGCTTCTCCAGTGAGGAAAACTGCGGTCTCCACGTCCTCAGAAGCTCCAAGCAGCCTATTTGTCCCCAAATAAAGCTGCTTTTTGGGGCGTTTCTGCACAATCACAGGTCAGGCACTGAGAGCACTGGGCAGTTGCACACAGGCTGCCTCTTCTCCCGTCAAAATTCTCTTGGTCTTGCGGGAAAGGAAATGTTTTGTCCGAGCAAATACCCCAGAGGACGAACGCTGCAGCAGTTACATCTCGCTGTGAAAGAATCTTGATGCTTTTAGGATTCAACCTGATATCTCATTAGACTGGTAATTGCCACCTTCCTAATTGTTTGATAGTGCTCCAGCCTCCTCTCCCCATCCTGCCCCGATGCTGGCATCCTTCTGAGATTGTTCATTACCGCGTGCATTTGCCTCCCAGCATGAGAATCCCTCTCCACCGACTTCATCCTGCTCCAGGCCTGGGTGAGAATTTGGAATTTGTTGTCTGAGCCATCACTCTGGATTCACTCCAGTTGGTTTGGGGGCCCTCCTGGACCAGCTGGTACTCACTGAGAGAGCCTGGAGAGGCTGGTGGCAAAGTGGGGGGGTGACAGGGGACAGCACACACGACCCCACATCCCTCCCTGCAACCCTACACAGGAAGCACCCATTCACCCCCACCAAAAAGTTTTGGGGTGGCAGAAGAGGGGAGGGGAGAGGGTCTTGGGCACATCCGAACATGGGGGGCATGGGTGACATCGCTGCTGGGATGGCATGTCCCTGAGCAAAGCGGGGTGTCACAGCCTGTCCCATCCAGGTTGCAATCACTAGGAAAAGACAGGAGCTGGGTGCTTCCCCCTCACCCCAGTGCCGGGCACAGAGAGTCCGGCGGGGCACAGCACGGGTGTGACAGCCGGGCTGGCGGTGACAGCAGGGCCAGGGCAGTGAGTCACCGCCACCCCCGTGCCTGCTCCACCCCTGGACTTTGCCTCCCGCGGATGCTCGGGGCAATAAACCCCAGGCTCGGAGGCGGGAATGGGGCGTCGGGGAGGGCACCGGGGTCCCATCGCTGGGGGCTGCGCTGTGCAGGGGGATCTGCACGAACGGGATCGGGATGGGGATCGGGATGAGGAGTGGGATCAGGAGCGGGATCAGGGGATGGAGTGTGCCTGAGGCGGCGGGCAGGAGTGCGAGGGAGCGGCACCCAGGCAGGCAGGACACGCAGGTGGCAGTGTGACGCTTGTGCACGGCGCCGGGAGAAGGTCACCTGTGCGCCAGGACACCCGTACGTGTGTCCCGGCCGCTGTCACAGCCCCGGGCGGGCCCGGCGGGCGGGTGACACGGGTGACAGCCGCACCCTGGAGCGGGCGGGCTCTTCCCGCCTGCCCGTCCCCATCCCTGTCCCCGCCGAGGCCACTCGGGCTCCGTGGCCCCAGCGGACACCCCCATGCAGCGGGAGCGCGGGGAGCAGAGCCCAGGAGCCCCCGAAACCGAGGTCAAGGCTGTCATCGTCGGGGATGGCGGCTGCGGGAAGACGTCGCTGCTGGTGGCCTTCGCCAAAGGGGACTTCCCCAAGGTACGGGATGCCTGTCCCCTGGGGGGTGGGGGACTGTCCCCGGGCCTGCGGGAGCGGTGGCGGGCAAAGGGCGGTGGGACAGACACGGTGGCAGCAGCAGGGCCCTCTGAGGCGGGACATGGGGACGGGGGGACAAGGGGTAGCCTGACTGATGGGGGTCTGTGACACCTCTGCCTCTCTTGGGGAGTCCCAGGAGAAAACAGGGTTTGTCCCTCGGTGAGGGCACATAAAAGACTCGGGGAGTGCAGGGAAGGGGGGCAGCCACAGAGACCCCAGAACCCCTGTCCTGAATCCCCAGGTCCCCCTGGGGCATCCATGTGCCCTGGGATGGGGACAAGGGTGGTTCCCATCCCTCTGCCCCAGGGAGGAAGCACCATTTCCCGCTGCCTGCTTCCCTGCCTGTGCTCTGTCCCCACTTGGGTCCCCTCTGTCACTGCCCCCCACAGCCGCCTGTGTGACCTGT